AGTGTTCACCGAGATGCTCGACATCACTGTGAAAGAAAGAGAACATCGTGCATTTTCGTGAACGCGATCGTCTTGTGACTGATCGAAATCCTCGGAAAGTCTATATTTTTTCGCTCTCGCCAGTCGCGTAGAATCAGTCGCTAAAGAAGCTTCTCTTCAAATGAACTGTCCTGATATGCATGTTTGTTCGCTAAATCATTAGAGACAATCAGAAGAAAAGATAAAGTATCGATCGGTTGACGACGTACAGAGTGATGATTCTGCCTCTTTATGGCAACTTCGCTTGGCTGCCGCTTCTTTGATTGTGAATTGAGAATTCTGACATTTTGGTTATAAGGTGTACTAGTCAATAGGTATTTAGAGAGTTTTTTGAGAAAAATCTGAGGCGTAGTTTTGGACAAAATTGAGGCTCAAGTTGCCCTTTTTGGGGATGGATTTGGGACTAGGTGTCGGTGTGAGCGTCGGTGTCAGTCTTTAATTTTCTCTTGTACCGACGTGACACAACCACAACCAAACCGTAAGAGATAATGAATCAAACAATTAATTAAAACGATAAATGAACAAAGTTCGTCAAAAAGCCGTTAATATGTCTGTATAGACTTCTTCTAGTAATGAATATTACAATGGCTAATTCTAAAATTTGTTATTGCTTCAGTGAACTGATAGATAGAAATAGAAAGTTTGCCCATTAGCGAGGTTGAGAAGAGCCTGCTGAGTAAATGATACATCTATTTTTACGTAAAATCTTTTTATGGAAAATTGTGAGGGAGGTTATTGAATTTTTTCGAAATTTCGAGTTTTCCGAAGAATCGATATTGGTGCTTCGCACCTTATTTCGTATTCTCGACTTTGTCGAGATGCCGTCTAGTTTTTAATAACATTACGTAAGCATCTCATGCAGACATTTCCTGTTGCAATGATCTCAAGAACCAAGGGTCAGAAAATAGTCACTCAAACACAAAGTGATAGTATCAAGATCGAACTGATACCATTTTTCTATCAATAGTAATGACGACGTTCCGTTTACTTGCAAAGAGCGTTAAAAAACGAGAAATGTTTAAGGGCTTTGTTTTTTTCAAGCTTCGAGATAATTAAAACGAAAACAGGACCAAAAGTTAGGCTCCATTCTGTTTGCTCATATGTGAAACAGCTGCAAATAAAGATAACTATAGCCAATGAATCATTTAGATGATTAATCGATCAATGAGGAGTGTTTTTTCGAAGTCTGTTGATAGGTATTGGTAGGGTTCACGCACTGATGGAGTTTAGAATGACTGTGTGTCATGTTGAATGTTTTTACAATTGACGAGATTTGTGCTTCGCACCGCATTTTGTTTCGAGTCGAAACTCGAATACCATCTAGTTTATTTCTCAAATTATTTTCCCTCTATTTCTCATTAATACTCAGTGAAGTTTATCCAAATGAAGTTTCTTCAAATGAAACACCATTGATGTTAATGTCGCTCTATACAAAAATGGCATGTCTTCATGCCTGCTATCGATAGTTTTTCATTCATAAAACTTTGTCTAAAGCTGAAATCAAATACATTCTGAAAGCTCTTGAAAAATTCTATAACTGTAACTGCAAAAATGAGTCTATAAAAACTGCAGTGAAACAAAACAAATATTGGACGTCTTTCGACAAGTGGCGTTAGAAGCGATATGCCTGACTTATCAGTATGGTTTTTTAGAAGCCAAGACAGATGGAAACTTAATTTCTTCAGAAGTGAATGACTATCTTTGTACCAATACAAAAAAACAATTATCAAAATCGATTTAGTACAGCTCGACTTATAAGAATTTTTATTTTGAGACACAACAGTACGATGGCCGTGCTCTTCATTCATGCTTATAATCAATTGAAATTGTGCAATTATTAGTTATTTTTTCAATTTACGTAATGGATCAGAACGTACACAGTAGTGACATCTTCGCATCACAATTTTTACATGGGATGTGACTCTACTGAACCTTCAGAATTATAGTGTTATTTTGGACCCGAAATCACATTTGCCCTGTTATTTCAGCTAGAATGCTTCAGTGATAAAAAAAATAATGACCGTTGCCGTATATTTGCTTTTTCATGACCATCCGTCTTTAACAAAGATCTTACTGTGTTGCTATATTTTCCTGCTTGAAAATTTTGCCGCAGCCAACACATCTTCCCAATAGAAAGCTATTAAGGCCTATAGACTGCTAGACTTACAGAATGATGGAAGTAGCCACATAATGTTCGCTAGTATTTTCATGATCACTAATTTTCTTGTCAAGGGTACCTGTGTAAAAGTCAACATAGTGTCCCATTTCAGGAAACTTACGATACTTTTTCCCGAATTAGTTACTAGGTATACCAGTATCAAACGAGAACTTACTTGAATATGTAAGTAATTAAATCGTACGAATGATAATGTTTGTTTTGACGATGTCAGTTGGTTCGTAACTTATTGCTTGAAATGAATATCTAAATATTCACTTTCTAATATAAGTAAGAAATCTGAAATAGTAAAGTGATATTTACAGTTGTATATAAAGCGCTTCATATAGACTATAGTACCAAAATGTGTTAGAAAAATAATAGAAACGACAACAAAATCTATCTTTGAAGTCGTGAAAAATCACTATTGAGACTACAGTTGTGCGGCTACATGATAGCTTGCAAAACTTTGTAGATCAACTCTCATCTGATGAACAGTTCAACATGAAAACGATCAAACACTGCTTCAAATTATAAGGTTCGGCATAAACTAATTTTCTTCAATAACTGCACCTCTATACCACAAACCATAACTCACCAAAAAGTTTTTCGAAAACCAGCTATGACCTCTTCTCACCGTAAACTCTAATCTTCAAAGTAGATTGGTTATATGTGATGTGTTTGCGACATGCAAACTATAGGACAGACAGAACTTTGCAAGCAATTCTCAAGAAAAACGTGTGTTTAAACAGTCACAAGAAGCATGAGTATGAAATCATGCTTAGCATTTTGTCAAAATTAAAACAAAAGTCTCAGCTTTTATGTACGTAGGATAAATGTACACAACTTGTGCAGTGTTGGGATTGGCTTTTCAGAGAGCGCCCAAACACTGCCAGTGAGCGAAAAAATCTCATAGCACACATAGAAAAAGAAAGAAATAATTAAATTGTGAATTATTCTGGTCACTTCATCGTAACAGTGAAGCTATCAAAAGTCGTGTTGATTTATCTCCGCACAAAGAGGATTTTTTCAAAAGAGCCTGAAGATACTGCGAAGATTCGAACGCTAGAAAAGAAGTAGAATAGCGGTACATTGAACATAAAAGAGAGCGATTCACAATAATTCATGAATCGATGTAGGTCTAGGTGTGAGTGAATGTAAGTGCTTGGCCTAATTAATTAGGACAACTCACCTACTCACCCATCCATATACATCTGCATCCTCACCTATTTACATCCTCATCGAAGATAAGCTCGAACGACTTATAAGAATTGAGTAGCAAAAAATGAAAAAGAATTAGAAGAGACTTCACCTTGGATTGTGCATGTTATTGACAAAAATGTGATAAAAAAAACACAGGGTCATGTAAGAGCGATTTTTGGGACATGTTCAGTTTCCCAACGTTTATCACTAACTTGATACAGAATGTCACGAAGAATCGTTTGGTGACAAAATAATGCTATTTCTGAAGCAGTCAGACTCATTTTTGCTCAATGTATTGACATGCACTTTTGAATCATAAAGCAATGATTCATATATAGGAGAGTCTAGCATGTAAGATTTTTCATAGAAGGAAAATTCGAACCAAAGACTATGTCAATTGACTGCTTATCATATAGCCTATGTTTGATGAAAATTTAAGCTCAAGGACATGAGTGTAAGTGGAGGTGCGGATATTGATACGGGTCTAGATCTGTTCTCCGTATATACCCAAATCCACATAAACATCCATACCTACATCCTTCTAGTACTTATATTTTACACAAACATTGAACATTTAAAAATCAAATAATTCGTTGCTCATAAATTTCGCATTTGTTACGATTTTATTTTTCTAAATTGTTTGTTTAAAATATGCTATCATTTGTCATTATTTTCTGTCCAAAAAGTAATTTAAATATTTTATTTGATCCATTGTCATTTAAATTTATGATTGTCATAAAGTCATTCGATTGGATAGAATCGAATTTTTCAACGATAACTGTTGCTGTCTGACTTCATAAAATTAATTTTTACTGTCGTTATCCATTGCATAAAGTCTATAGACATATTGTATTCATATTTTCAGCATTTTTCCAATCAATCTTTTGACAAAAATATTATAGATTCATCTATTAGTTTAATTTCATCAAGAGATTTTTGTTCTTCATCTTTTCCGAATAATTCATTTAAATTTGTATTTTCTATTTCGTTGTTAGCAATTAAAATTAATTCTTAACAATTCGTAAATATTACATTTTTAATCATTCCTTCCTAAAATTCTGACGATTTGATGTTTCTGTAAGAAGTCATGTCAACTTGTCTTCATTAATAATTTTTTTCCATGTAAACGTTTTTCTATGAAATTATATTCTAGTCGGTAATTCATGAAAATTGTATCTAAACAATTTTTATCAAATGTTAGGTTAAATATTTTATCAAATTAAATTAGTTTCGAACTGAGTAAATTTTTGAGAATTTGAATATAAATTGCAAATATTTTGATCTTGTATTCGATATGATTTAACTGTCATGAGGATCATTAGGGAATCTGCTACATTTATTTGATTTCTTATTTAGTTTCGTCGTTATTATATTCCAGTATGATACTTAAATAAAAATTTTGCTGGATTTAATAATGCATGAAAATTAATTTTATCTTCTCTTCACGATAAAAATTGTTTGTTTCATTAGATAATGTGCTTTATAATAATAGACGACTTGAGAAAATTTTGGTTCTTCAATAATTTTATTCATAAATTCAATTGCCGAATTGTAATCTTTCATTTTCATAGAATATTTACCTAATTTAATGAATTCACTTGGTTTAGTAACAATTTTTTTTTGTTGAATCCTCAGCATTGTCAATACTGTCTATTGTTTTAATAAATTTTTCTAATAATTCAAATATTTTTGTTTTCATCTTAGATTTTTCATTTTTATTCGTTCTATTGTTAGTCATGATCATCATCGTTGTTGAACCAATTTCATCTAAACAGAATGCCCATTGATATAAAATAGAATTCAATAGAATACCTTTAATATCATCTTGAAGTTTCCATACTCTTATTAATTTGGCTTTTAGTTTATCATAAGATTTATGAAAACGAATAAATAAATTTTCTTCAAAATGTAAAGATGTTTCATCATAATCACGTATTTCATCGACACAACACAATTCATTGTAATATTTTTCATTTTTTAGATCAACAACTTTTAATGCTGAATATAGTTGATGATCACCATCATCATCACCATCATCATCGTCGTCGTCATCTCATTCAAGATTAAACTTATAAATAAATATCAACTATCTCGATCCGTTTTGCCATTTTCTTACTGTTGTACGATCGAATCCTTGTTGTTCAAATTGATAATTTTCCAGTAAATATGTTAATAGTACATGTAAATCACCTTTTTTATTCAAATGTTCTGGAATTTTAATGTCAGTACCTCTGTCGGTTAAATTTCTTACAATCATAATTTTTCCAGCATTTAATCCCTCTTTTGCAAAAGAAAATTTTTCATAACTTCATTTATAAACAAAAATATTTGATAAATAATCGAACTTTGCCGTGCAATTCTTGAGTAGAGGCCATGCTAATTTTCTCTGTTTCGCTCCAATTGTATTAAATGTCCTGGATAAGTCGATACACTAATCAAAATTGGTGGTGGTTTTGCTATTGATCTGCTTGTTTTTTTATATCTCTTCTTCAGCATATTGTTTAAATGATTGTTTTATTTATTTAACATCTTTAATTGTTTCACTAATAATTATAATTGATTGTTTGCTTTTTCCTGTTACTATTTTCATTGCTGTTTCAACAACTTTTTTTCTCCGTTGTTCAATATTTTTACAAACAATCCGATTGACTTTTTTTGAATCTGCTTGTCAATTCAACGGAAACAATAATAAAATCGACACCGTATGTTATTTTTAAAAACTGACGTTCACTTTCTGAGCTCAATGTTCCATTTAAGCCGTAAATATTTGGGTACGTTTTAAACAATGTTCTATTTGAAATGAAAACAGCTTTTAAATTGACCAAAGATATTTTACTTTGATATTTTAATTGTAAAAATGGATGTAAACATTCATTCCATGGAGTATTTATTAGATCGAAATTGGTGTCATAATCGATAATTATCGTATTTGGATGTTTATCTAATTTTGTTAAATATTTATCAATATATCAATAATATAATTTCGACCTTCTGCCATTTCAAATGTTTCATTCCACTTTGAATCCATGTTGTTAAATATTATTCAACAAATAGTTAAAAATAAGTTTTGGCATTTGAATTTGTTTTTCATGATTGATAATTTCATCAAATAAAAATTTTATCAGTTTTAAAAATTCATTTAAATTTTCATTTTCATATTTAATATTTTAAGATAATAAAATCTTACTTGAATTATCAATTTTATTAATTCAATTAATTCATTCCAAATTTCTTCATTTATTCCACGATGTTTTATTAATTTATGCAAGGGGGAAACGGCGGACTTTTGGACTTGAAGTTACTTTGAGCTACTTTAAGCTACTTCAAGTTACTTTCAGCTACTTGAAGTAGCTTACTTTGAAGTACTTTTCAACTTCAAATTTACCTGAAGTTACTTGAAGTTACTTTAAGCTACTTGTTCCTACTTTGGACTACTTGGGTGGTACTTTGAGCTACTTCAAGTAGTCTACTTTCACGTACTTTTACGTACTTTTCTACTTTAAGTCCGCCGTTTCCCCCTTGAATTTATGTCATTCATTTTTATCGAAAATTCAATATAAATTGTGTTAAATAATTTTTCTTATTCCTGAAATTGAAGAATATTTTCCATTAACTGCATTAAATACAATCACTCGCCACAGATGAAAACATAAACAGATTCTAATGAATTCAAATTAGGTGTCTAATGTGACAAATATAAAACACAATTTCCTTTATCGAATAGTATTGAATCAACTTCATCAATAAGAATATTTTTCCGTCTATTTTCATATCGATCACCTAAAATTCGTTTCTCATAAAAACGATTTAAAAGATATAATCATGTTGAAAACTTGAAACATCTCCGTAAACAGTTTGTTTTTCAAATGCAATGCATCGTTGATTGACATCTTCAGATGTACTATGTGGCACAAACATATCAAATAAATTGCATAATTTTTCATTTTTATTTGCATCACGTTCTGACAAACTGCTGAACTTGTAATAATATCACCTTTTTCACCGAATAAATATTTAATTATAATAATTATGGCTACGATTAAAGGTTTCCCTTCCCCAGTTGAAGCTTGTGATAGTAATTTTTTTTTATTAAAAATAAACATAGAAATTGTTAATTTTTGTGCATGACGAAGTGATTTTATTTCATGTTCAATCATGACCAATGATTCTAGTGAACGTTTTTGTTTCTCTTGAATATTTTCTAATTTGTTAAATTTCATTGTTCATTTTTTAATATCATCAATTGTTAAATTTTTTTCGGAAAATTTCTTTACTTGTTCTAAAAGTAAATTCAATTAATTTGGTTGATTCCCGTTGATTTTCTTCTCATTTCCCATGTAAAAAAATCGTAAAAAATCCAGATTCTAATCAATTTTTCTTTGATTAAAAATCGATTAAAATGAGACGATTTTTATCAGATTTTAATCAAATTAAAAATCAAAAAACAACTGATTTTAATCGATTTCTTACAAAATAATCCATTAAAATCAATTTTATTTTGGTTTTCAATTTGATTAAAATCCGATGAAAATCGTCTCATTTTAATTGATTTTTAATCAAAAAAAATTGATTAAAATCTGGATTTTTTACGATTTTTTTTTTTACATGGGTATCTGAAATAGATTTATACATCGCCTGTATCCGTTTATATAGTGGTCGTTAATGGAAGAGAATCGAAAAAGAAAGGAGATGAAACTATTATTAGTGAGGAAAAAAAACAAACATATCATACAAAAATTATTCTTACAATTTTTTTCTTTCTTCTCTGGCCATAGTACATCTCTCTTTTTTTTCTCTGTTGCCTCTCTCAGGAATACACGTAGCAAAAAAAGTATGTCTCGCATACTAATGAATGCCGTAAAAAACATGATATGCAGAAGCGGCCATATATCATTATACTGCTTTATGCACAAATGATGTCGTGTTGTAATGAGACTATTAATCATATTTGATGTGAAATGGCAAAGATATGATATGGTATACAGTACCGTGTTACTTGGATCAGGAGTACTAGAAAACTAGTCCGTTTATTGCCCTCAAGTTTGCGTTCTACTAAAACACTGAATTATTTGTGCATCAACCAATATCATGGCATAAGACTCGTTGACGTGATGCATATTCACAGGGTCCACTCGTATGCGAGGTATCCTTTTTTGCCATATATGTGCCCGATAGAGGACAGAAAAAAACAGGAGATGCACTATGATCAAATGGGAAAGAAGAAAATGGGCCGTATAAATTTTATCTCGACATTTTCGTTCTTCTTTATTGATCATAGTTATATCTCTTCTTTTTACCATTCTTTCTCTAATATAAATCCATCGAGAAAAAAACTGCCATCACATACAACTGCTTCCATAAATATGTGCTATAAGTGGGCAGCTTACCGTCATAAAACTCGGTGGAGAAAAACGGCTGTGTCGAATTGAGTTAATGACATATATATAACCTTTCGCCAAAAATACGATGTCGTAGTTGATGCTTTGCTACGACACACACGACTACAAAAATATATGATATGTTTACTGCGTAAAGTTGCAGTTTTGACATTATTTAGTGGCGTAGAGCGAGTCGTAAACAAAAATGTTTTTTTCGCATAGAAGATAATATATGAATCATCAAATCACTTCGTTATGGACGTGTTTCTGCATCTAATATTATTACGATTCACGGCTTGCTTACATGTCATATAATCCTAGTAAATAGTCGCATGTGATCGGGATTCTTTTGCAACGGACATATCTGAGATACAAAGAAAAAAAAAGAGAAGATAAAACTATTATCAGTGAAAACGGAAGAAAATGCGAAGACAAAACGTTTTTTCGTAAATGACGTCATGAATTTTTTTCCCCATCTATCGCGCATACCGGACAGAGTAAAATTACTGAAAACACGTGTCAGGACACAAAAACTATGCACGAATGTGACAATACATGAGATTTAATTCAATTTCTCATAAATAAAGCAAAAAGTCGACTTTGTAAATCATAAGTTTTATTTAAATGGAAATTTTCGATCATTATACGATCATTTTCAACCGAATACCGCAAACATTATAACAGATGTTACAACACAAAACAGAAAACAGATAAAAGAGAAAAATGTATTTGATTTTATAAATAATAACATCATAAACGATATTAACATAT